TTTAAACAAAAACCTACAGTCGCCCATTTCTCCCGGGACTGCGGTGTGGTGACAATCAATAGCGGGTAGTCTTCGCTGAAGAAGCTAAAAGAAAGCCGCCGTTTTCTCGTGAAAGTTGCCACACAAAGATCGAGGGTTTCTTTCAAAATGCCGAGAATCATAATGTCGACATTCACATTACCCAAAAAAATGATAATTTGGAAATTTCGAACAGTGAATTCACGGAAACACCCTAAAACCCAGTGCAAAACAATTCGGCACCGTGATCGACACTATCAAATAATTTTTGAGATTATGAAATTTCGACATTGTGAATCGCGATATTATGAAATTTCGACGTTATGATAAGAAATCAAAAACCTATAATCCTAACTTACCTCATTGTCGCCAGCGCCACCATCGATTTCCCGAGCCCACCCTCGTCAAACAACAAAAATCGGCCTCCGCCTCGGATGCAGTTGCTAGAAAAGATAAATCAAGCTCTTCAAGGGGGCTAAGAAGTCACGTCCTGCTCTAATGATTGCAGTCAAATAGCCATATGTCGCCGCAATGCGACCGTTTAGAAAGTCGTAATTTTAATCATTTTGATCTCATCGAGACTGATGAATTCGGTCGCTTAATGGGCATTAAGACGCGCACTACGAGCTCCAAATACGCTTCGCTTTTCTTTCATTTTTAGCGTTTATAGCAACGATATCAATTTAATCGTCCGTTAAGCAGCAGGCTTCGACTTTTGACCATGGGTTTTACTCGCATACAAAAATTCTTCGATTCCAGTCCCTGTAAATGACGATGATAACCTACACGGTTGCTGCCTTCTGAGGATCCGATAAATCGTCGTACACGCACTTCTCTAGCAATCGGTGAAGATTGTCTTCTATGGCCTAAATCCATGTCAATTCTGTCGCGCTTTTTCTCATGGCTAAAATATCGATAATTCCTTACCAATTTGTTGTTGTCTTTCCTAGTGAGAACGCGCAGTATACCGTCAGGCAACCTCTCCACCTCTGCTTGACCCTCTGCCTCAACTGGCTCAACCTAAAAACTCCAATAAAATCAAGCAAAAAATGCACCTTAAACTGATCGAACAAGCGTTCATTGGTGGCTTCGTCGCCCAGAACTAAAATCATGGTTAATGCCCTAAATGTTGTCAACTTCTCCAAGGTATCTCCTCTTCGTCGTCGGATCCAGTCGAATCTATTTCGGTATCATCTTCATCATTTTCAAGATCGCACAGAAGTCTTTCCATAGTGTAGATTTCTACAAATGTAGGTAAAAAATGGAGCTTGTGCACTTGCGGAGGAAGTGTGGCGCTAAGTGGCTACGAGACGCTCTGACCAAGCTACTGGCTTTTTAGCTCAAGTTAGTTTTATTTATACTTATCTAAAGTCGAGGCCTCGGTTTGAACTCATTAGGTTAGCCTGGCTCAGCTTTGAATTTTCCGAGAAGCACAAAGAGGTGTGATAAAGCTTACAGCCAAGTATAACTTCGCTACGCCTAGGCTTACACTTAATTTCTATGAATCTGGTTTTAGGCTGAGGCTTGGCTTAGCTTTTTCGGAAGTTTAAAGTTAAATAAACGAGCTTTGGAGCATCTTCCAGTGCCCATCCTTTCAGTCCCCCCCCCCCAAGTGCACTAGTAGAGAAAAGGCTAGTTTGTAATAAATACGTACCTTCTTGCTTCCGTCTGGTTCGGCGATTGTTCCAAAGGCCTTCGGGCACAAAACCGGAGCTTGTCGCAACTAAAACCTTGACATGACTAGAAAATTGGGCACAAGCACTCACCACATTCTTCCGAAATCCGCGGCGACGGCTGACTCTCAGTAGCGCCACTTTCTTTATTTTCGGCTTCGAAGACTTTTGCGTTTTCGGCATTCTGGTCTTGCTCATTTTGTGCATCAACGTCTTGCACCCTTTCCCAATTTGCCGTTCCTTCACTTTCCGCACAGGTGAGGTGCTGTCCCTCTGCCTCGACGGTTTCTTGATTTTCTGCATTGACGCTCGCTTCATTAGCTTGAACATCCTCTTCATTTCCCTCATTCGTGACTTGCTCGCTTCCGGAGACAACGATTTCTTCGCTTTCGCAAGTGATCGTTTTTGAACTTTCCGCACAGGTGAGGTGTTGTCCCGGGCCCTCGAAGATTTCTGCATTTTCGACATTGTCGATCTCGGAATCCGGTTCAGGAGATGGTTCAGGGCTCCAAGGAGGCGACAAACCGTTCGGGTCAAAAGTACTAAAAATCCAGATAAATTTAGATTACAGGGGGGATACCAACTATCTTGATAGGATGGAAATTTTTAATATAAGCCGCGAAGGGTTTATAGATCGTTTTTAATAATGCAGAACGTAAAATGTTTACAAATTTTTGATTAAAATAGCGAACTTCTCGATGTTTTTGACCAAAATGCCAGTTTGGTACCAAGATTTTGGAGTTTTAAAAATGCTTAAGAATTTTCTAGATAGGTTTTCTGCTCAAAATATAGTGAAATTTTAGCAAAAAAGATTAAAATTTGTCTTGCTTATAAGTTACTAGGAATTTATGGACGAATCGGATGCAAAACCGCTTCAACCTAGATTTTAGCCTTTTTAACAGTTTTTAAAGTTTTCCGAATAAATTATTCATTATAAGAACTTACTACTTACTTAACTCTCTTTTTCTCTTACTAATTAGAAAGGTAACTTATTTATTTGAATTTATTAGAGAGTTTTCTTGATTAACTGAAATAAAATAAATTGAACTAAAAAGGTTCTTGAAATACATTATTGGACTATTTGGATTTATCAGCCAAGTTCAGTTCTTTGCCAGATTTTGCAAAAGCGCCAAGATGTCAAAGAATAAGAATGGCATGAATTGGCTACCTGGCCGGCGGACTGTGACATTCTCGGGATGGGGCCTCCGATTCTTTATCACCGTCGGCCATCTCGCTAAAAGGAAAATAATCATGGGAATTTACACTGCATTCCTCTGCCAACAAACAAATAGCTGTTGCTTGACGAACGGTAGAAAAAACTCACTTTGATTTCCTTTTCCGGGGGTTTGGCTCTGCGTTTTCACCATCTTCGGAAAGTGGCTGGGAGGTCATGGTGATTGTAAAAAGTGTCTTCTATGTTTCTATAATTTACATTTTCATAAATAACTAACACAAATATTGAAAATCGAAGGACATGATGTCAGAAAAAAAGGAAAGTTCAGAGTTTTTAAAGGAACTTAGAAGCGTCGAAAAACGAAATTTCCAAACCAATTGTGCAAGTTTAAGGGGTTCTAAAAAATGTTGCGTGACTTTCTAACCTTTGTAATCTTACTTTTAAAATTTACGGTGTACTAACAGTACGCTTTTCAGCTTTGCGTAATTTTGCTTTACTGCGGTAACATGGAGTCGGATGTATACGTCTAAAAGGCTATTTACTCCCGGCAGCCCATGCTATTTTCGCCAATCCAGGCATTTTTTTACGTGTTTGAACATGTCGCGCATGAGTATGCAGAGGCAACACTCTATCGGCAGAGGAAAAAGGGCTGCAATAAAGTGCATCCAGAGCCAGCTGGTGTTTTTTGGCAGTGAGGACCATGCGATGCTAGGCGCTCGGCCTCCCCCGCTGCGCCAATTTCACCCCGCTCCCCTAAAAAATCGCGTAAGCAAATTTTCCACTCACAAAAACCTGACTCTCGGGCATGAGTTTTGAAAATGAGCGCATAAGTGCTGTCGACCTTGGGGTACGGTGGGAAATAGGCAAAGCGAGGGAAAGAAATAGAGGAGGGCAATAGATAGAGAGCGAGAGAGGGAAAGAGAGAGAGAGAGAGAGAGAGAGAGAGAGAGAGAGAGAGAGCGAGAGAGCGAGAGATTGAGAGAGGGAGAGATTGAGAGAGAGAGTGGTAGAGTGCGAGAGTGAGAGAGAGCGCGAGAGAGACTGAGAGAGAGAGCGAGAGACAGAGTCAGCTATGAAAGCGAGATCCCTTCAATCTTTTCATCAAATTGGCTTAAAAATTAAGGGTTTTTCTCGAAAATCAGGGAAAAACAAGAAAGCGCGCGTCAATTTTTTTCGAAGAGCAACATTATGACCCCTTAAATGCCCTGGGGCGATAGGCACGTGTTCTCTCTGGGCCTTCTTATAGTAATAAAAGACATAGGTTGCGCCATTGACACGCTGACATCGAGTATATTAAAAATGTCCGAGCTGGAGCCTGCCTCGGTGCCATTAGCAGGGGAGCAACACTCTGTTTTACCTTGGTGCCTGGTTTTGGCTTAACGATAGGTGCAAGGATACAGCTAAGGATATCTAACGATTTCTAGCCGTATTCCGCATAGAAATCTCTTTAGAAAAATATTAGCAAATATTGGCAACAAACGTAAAGATGAAAAGTAGTAAGCGTAAAAGAAGCAAGGCTGTACAATCTCCATGAATTTGCGGGTATCAAAAGCTACCAAAAGCTTCAATACAGGA